TGTGTGTGTGTGTGTGTGTGTCCTCTCACTGGTTAAATGTGTTAACTTTCCCAATGCCACGCATTTATTACGTTGAAGAGTTTTCCGTGGATGTGTGAAGACCTCCGACTGAAAGTGTTCAGACTTTATTGGGTGTTTGCTTTTATATTCGACAGGAAGCTGAAAGCAGAGAAAAGGCCAGGCCTCTTTGACAGTCTTATTTCCGCTGGGTGCCAAGTGTGATTTAGCTTCATTACATCAACACTGGGAATTAAAATGTCACTGAAATGTGAAGTTTTGTTTTCCATCACCTAAACACAGATCTCCACGCACATGAATTCCGACCAAATTGTGTCAATTTAATGGACAGTGAACATCTCATCTCACCTGTTTCACAAGCGAGATTTTTGTCGCAAGGTATATTTGTTTTCAACCTGCGCGACGTCGTTTCTTCCTCTTGGTCCTTTCATGCATCATCGTCTTTCATCTCTCTCTTTGAGGATGCATTTCACGTCAGTCTAACTCTATTTTTAAGGTTGCTGCCAGATTAACACTGACAATGACTTCAGTTCACCGTTTGTGTTGGCTTCAGCCAACAGAGAAGCAGAGACTCTGGGAAATGCATTTTTACTCACTCGAGGTTTCTTGACTGACCCGTTGCCACCAGGCGGTAACCTCTGGTTCTGAAAAGGGAAGCCAATGCTTCAGTGCCTTACACTTGTATTCTTTCTAATGGCCAGCAGGGAGCGACTCCTCTGGTTGTATGGAAGTCTTTGAGAAAATGACTCGACTTCTCACTCGGTTTATTACATCAGTGTACATTGTAAACATGACTTTATGGTCTCAATTGCTAATTTCAAGTCTTCTTCAATACAGCATGATGTTCATTTAATAAATGATGGTCCCATTTACAGTCAAATAGTCCAAAAACCAATCGGTGACGTCACTGCAACTACGTCCACTTCTTCCATACAGTCTATGGTTGCCACGTATGCATAAAGAGTGAATGCAGCGGACTAAACTTTGAGTCCCGCTCCAGTCTTGTGTCTTTTGTCCCATGTCCTCGGCCTCTAAATTAACCAAATGAGACTGACTTCCAACAAAAGACTGTCTAATCTCTCTCCGTTATTGATTTACAGTGTCGGTGACAGTGATGCTTTTAGCCTGACCCCGAACAGCATGTAATTCAAACAAGCAATGAATAAACCGATCCCTAAGATTTATTGATCATTGGCGTCCTTCGCAGATGACTTTGGTCCAGAGCCTGTGAGGTGTTGATGTGGGGTTTGCAGTATAAATACACACAGGGCTGTTTCTGGCCACTTTGGTGCACTAGGCACTCCCAAGCTTTGATCTTTTAGATGAACCAATAACCTAATGATTTACTTTTTTTACTTTCACTCAGCTTTATTCAACTTCTTTTGTAATAAAATAGCCAGAACCAGCCTTGGGCTTTGGGTACTAATTGCTGTCACTTTAGAGGGTTCAAATTCCTCTCACATACCACAGTGAGTAAATGTATAGAGCCATTATTGAAGTTTTTACAGTCTCATTAAACGATGAATAGTCACTGCAGGCTTATTTTGATATGCTTGACTTGATGTTGCCAGTTTTCTAGAATAACTATGTGATTGCTAAACGTGCTTTGAAACGCAGTGTTTAAGTGACAACAACAAAGGCCTCGATAAGAAACAAAAGCGTGTTTTCCACAGATGAAATTAAGCTGAAACCTGTTATCAAGGATGTTAAGTCGCAGCCTATACGCAGTGTGCTCGGTTAGGGTCAAGGAACAAATGTTTGCCTCCATCTGAATTCCCCTTCAGGCATGTAATTAATAAGCTTGTGAACTTCAAAGAGGCAAATTTGCCCTTGCCACACGTACGCCACTTGTTTTTGAATCAAAGCTTTAAAAGTACCAAAAAAATCCTTTTTATTTACACAAAGTGATGGCAGAAGACAGGGAAGGACTGGGTATTTAAAAAATGGCCCTGGACATTTGGACTCAGAGAGGCCCGCCAAAACCCCCCCCCCCCCCCCCCAGCTAATCACCAGCACCCACAAAAGCACAGAATTACTGAACACTATTCATAATTAACTTTAGCACATAATGGCTCAGTGGCATCCTGGCTCTGCCTCAATCTGTCCACTGCAGATGCACCATCCTCATCTGGCATAAGTAATTAGTATAAATTAGTATAATAGTATAACATTAAATACAAAGTATCTTTTTGACCTGATGATGGGGCAGGACGGAAAGTCAGGGATCACCCAAGTTATTTCAATTCGTCATATGTCTGCACTAAATTTCATAGCGACCCACCAAAAATTACAAACGTAAAACTCATGGTGGCATTAAAGGAAACGTACACCAAAAGTGAACACCAAAGTCATCTGGATTCATCCTTTCAGGACCAAATTTTACAACAATTCAACCAATAGTTGTTAACATGTTTCAGTCTAGACTAAAGTGGTAGACCAACCAATGGACACAGGCAGACTCTGTCATCCTATGTCCTAAGAATAACATAGTAAACAGTATACAGGAAGTATACTAATAATACTAAATAGTATTTTTTGGTAATCTGATCCATGCCC